TGATGATGATGATGATGATGATGATGATGATGATGAGGTTGATGCTGATGCTGATGCTGCTGCTGATGCTGCTGATGATGATGGTGATGCTGAAGCTGATGCTGATGATGTTGATGTTGCTGTTGTTGTTGATGATGATGATGATAATGCTGATGATGATGATGATGATGAAGATGCTGATTATGATTATGATGATGATGATGATGACGATGATGATGATGATGATGATGATGATGATGGTGGTGGTAATGGTGGTGGTGATGATGATGATGATGATGATGATGGTGAGGACGATGAGGAGGATGAAGGTGATGATGATAATGATGATGATGCTGATGCTGATGCTGATGTTGATGCTGGTGCTGCTGATTCACGGTGATGATGACGATGCTGATGATGCTGCTGCTGCTGCTGCTGCTGATGATGATGATGATGATGATGATGATGATGATGATGATGATAATGGTGATGGTGATGATGAAGCTGAGGCTTTTGATGATGATGCTCTTGCTGATGCTGCTGCTGAAGATGATGATGCTGACGATGATGATGGTTGTGATGATGACAATGGTGCTGCTGGTGATGGTGGTGGTGGTGCTGATCATGATGATGATGATGCTGATGGTGATGCTGATGATGATGATGATGATGCTGATGCTGATGATGATGATGATGATGATGATGAGAATGGTGAAGATGATGCGGGTGTTGCGAATGATGATGATGATGATGATGATGATGATGATGATGATGATGATGCTGATGATGATGATGATGGTGGTGATGATGATGATGCTGATGATGATGATGATGATGATGATGATGATGATGATGATGATGATGATGATGATGATGATGATGATGATGATGGTGGTGGTAGGATGATAATGACGATGATGCTGCTGATGAGGATGATGATGGCGATTCTGATGATGAGGGTGACGGACATGATGAGGATCAGGAGGGGGAGGAGGAGGACGAGGAGGAGGACGAGGAGGAGGACGAGGATGAGGATAAGGATGAGGGGGATGAGGAGGAAGAGGACGAGGAGGAGAAGGAGAGGTGGAGGCGGAGGGCAAACAGAAAAGGCGAGAGGCCTTTTGGGATGTCTTTCGGAGACTTTTCGGATGCCTCTTGACATGTTCTTGGGGTGCCATCAGGGCGTCTTGGGGGCCTCCTGGCGGTCCCACGGGCCTCGTTGACCGTCTTGGGTGCATCGGGGACGCCTCTCCGGGCCTCTTTGAAGCCTTCGGTCGACTCTTCGGGTTTTTTTCAGGCCGTCTTGGGGCACCCTTGGGAGCCTTCGGGGCCATCTTGGGGCCATCTTAAAGGGGGTCGGCAACTAGAGCCCCCCCCCGGGAGGCCAACATGTGCCCAACATTTGCGTAAAATCAATGATGTGCGCCTTCTCGTCGAGGCTTTCTTGGAGGCCCCAATCGGTCGCGACACCCCTTGTCCAGGATCCATGGGGGTGTAGAAGGAGAGGTAAACCTGTCCCCGAAGGGGAAGAACAGGGGTTGGAAGAGGAACTGCTCCAAACCACTCACGCCCTAAAGGGCTGATGGGATTCACGGCGCTCAGGGGCAGCTGAGGATGTGAGGACAGCCAAAGTAGCACTCGGTGAACAAGAGTTGGAGCACCCAGGGACAGCGGGCGATGCGGGGACATCTCTGGAGAGCATCGGGCGAACGCAGTCTGCGACATCCAGGGGTTGCGGAAAATGAGGGGGCAGCTGGTGACAACAGTTGGGGAAGAAGATTTGAGGCACCCATGGTCCACGGGCGATGCCACAGACCACAGTGAGGGAGTTGATGTCTGCGGCGCTCGGCGCTTGACGAAACAAAGAAGGTTAGAAGGTCGGGCGAGGCGCGGGCACCCAGACAGAGCAAGCCAAATAGAGCATCGGCGCCACGGCAACCTTGGCAAAGGGAGGGTGGTTGCTGGGGGCAACAGTCGGCGAAGAGACGTGGTGGCATCCACAGCGGCAGATGCGAGCCCGTTGGGGACAACACTCGGCGAATCAGATTCGGGGAACCGAGGGACAACGGGCGGCTCAGGACAGCAAGGGACATCAGCCGGCGGAGAATATCCGTTGCACCCAGGGTCAGCGGCAGACCAGCGGAGGACATCACGCTGCCTGCGAGCAATCTGCGGCAACAACTGGCAACTTCCAGAGGTCCTAAACATTTCCAATGCGAGCGTAGCTCATATTATGCGAGACATCGATCGTATGCTTTAGTTTTCGGCCAGCTCGATCTTCTCATCATGTGTGTTCTTGTGAGGGCCGTACCCGGCACTTCTGTTTCCTGCCTTTGCTCTTTTGTGTGCGCGGCTTTTCGAGTGCGTCATCTCGCCCGCATCTGTTTTGGGGTGTGTGGCGGTGGTGAGGGCAGCATTCTTCTGGCATTTGTTTGGACTTGCGCAGCAGACGCTATCGTCGAGGCAGCAGGGCAGCATGGACACGGCAAAGGATAGTGGTATGCTGTGGTTGATGCGCAGTGTGTAGAGGCGTGCCTGGGCAATTTGCTGCGCGCACAGACGCGTTCTTGCAGTAGTCAGCGGAAGCGTCACTGCGCACGAAGAGCTTGGTCGAGTGGTCACAGGGCTGCAGGCTGGCAGCGTGGGGAATGCTGCTTGGAGGTGCGGAAAGGGAGGCCCTCTTTCCCCTGGCATCCTGGACACATCGTGCCGGCAGCCGAGCAGCGCAGGCAAGCCAAGCGGGGCGGACTCCTCTCCTCCACGTCCTGTGCACGCAGGGGCTCAGTATGGTTTGCCATCTCTTCTTCTGGCTCGCCACGTGTCGCTGCCCTGTGTTTGCAGGTGTCGTTTGCCAGACGCGCGCCGCACTACGAGCCATGGTCTGCATGGTACCAACATCGAAGCTGCATGTTTCAGTGACGTCTGGTGTGCCCGTGGATCGTTACTGTTTATTCGTTTGTTTGTTTGTTTGTGTGTGTGTGTGCCTTCATACAGGCACGCCGACGACCACTGCCAGTGCACTTGAGGTACCAGTTGCTGAAGTTCTTGGCCAGGTGCTCTCTGGATTGGGTGTAAGCGTCCGCAGAAGGAGGGCCCTCGGACAGTGTTGGGATAAAGGCGTGTGACTACGGTGGGAGGAGGGTGGGCAGTGGCATCAGGCCGCGCCGCTTCTGTGGACCCTCCCCTTCCTCTTCCCCCCTCCCCCTTCCCCTTTGCCTTCCCTGTCCCCCTCTCCCTCTTCCCCTGTTTCCCTTTTCTTCCCTTCCCTCCCCCTCTCGTCCTCGCTCCTCCTTTTCCCTTGCGCCCTGCGTCCTTCCTGCGTCTTCTTCTTCCTCCTCTTTTTCTTCGTCTTCGTCTTCTGCTTCTTATTATTCGTCCTCTTATCCATCTTCTTCTTCTTCTTCTTATCCTCCTATTGCTTCTCTTCTTGCTCCTCATACTTTTTGTCGCTGGGGGAACTTTGAGCGAAGCTCGTAGCGTCGTCATCGTCGTCGTCGTCGTCGTCGTCGTCGTCGTCGTCGTCGTCGTCGTCGTCGTCCTCGTCGTCCTCCTCGTCCTCGTCGTCCTCGTCGTCCTCGTCGTCCTCGTCCTCCGTCGCCGCCGCCGCCGCCGCCGCCTCCTCCTCCTTTTCCTCCTCCTCCTGCCCCTCCTTTTGCCTCTCCTCGGTACATCCTTGCTGCGTCATCGCTGCGACGGGGGGGGGGTTCGGGCTGGGTGGGCAGGTCGGGGCTTGCTCTGGACCGCTTTGGGTCTGCTCGTCGGCCTCGGGGCGTCGACAGGTTCTGCCGGGCTCCCTCAAGGCTCGCCTGGGGCCGCTTGGGGCCTGCTGGAGCGCTCCCGGTGCCCCCTCCAGGCGCTCCCAGTGCGGGCGTTGCCCGCTTTGGGTGCCGAGGGCGTGCGAGGCTCTCCAGGAGTAGGTCTGCGGCAGAGAAGAGCGGATGGCGAAGAGTGTAGCTGGAGCCAACATGCTTTCGAGAACGCCTGCGGCCAGGAAGTCCGAGTTCGGGCTGGATGTCTTTACTCGGGTGATCTGGGAATTCGTCTGGGCTGGAGCACTGGTCCGGAGATCTGGGAATCGGGTGATCCATTGGGGTTAAATCATTGATCCAGTGCTTCAGTGATCTGGTGATCTGGCCAGGCTGGATCATTGATCTGGTGTTTCGGTGATCGGGCAATCCGGCTTAATTCGGTGATCTGGCCAGGTTGGACGTCTTTTACATGGTTGGATCACTGATCCGGACAGCCAGTGATCCAGTAATCCGTCTTTGTTTGACCCTGGATCCAGTAATTTGGTGGTTGGGTGATCTGGCCAGGCTGGAACTATTGATTTTGTGATTTGGGGAGGGGCCCGGCTGAAAGTTACTATTTAGGAAATATGGACGGGCTGGTTCGGATCACTGAGGCGAGGTTCCAGTGATCTGGTGATCCAGCTGGGCTGGATCACTGGTCCAGGGATCTGGTGATCCGCTGATTTTGGCTGGTCTGAATCACTGATGGGGTGTGTCGGTGATCGGGTAAGCCCGCTGGGCTGGACCACCAGTCCGTTGTTTCAGTGATGCGGTGATCTGGGTGGGCTGATTCATTGATTCGGTTAGTCGGTGTTCCGGTTATCCGTCCAGGCTGTATCACTGCTTCTGTGGTCCAATTATCCTGTGCTCTGGCCGGCTGTGTTCCTGGATCTGTTTCCGTCATCCCGATCACTGGTCCAGTGAGCTGGTGATCTGGTGATTTGGTGATCCGGCCCGGGTGGATCACTGATCCGGCGGTGCCAGTTCTCGACGCCTCGGACTTCCGTGAGGAGGTCTGCGTCCTGCTGCCACTTCTGGTGGTCGCTGCCGCTGGTACTTCAGAGCAGTCGCTGACTTCGCCTTTTTTTTGGTCAGGGGCCGAGAGTGTGCATTACATTTTTATTCTGCGGGTCGAGAGCGGGCCTCTTCCGGTTAAGAGCTAGGCGGGGCGCGCAAAGCACTAATTGGGGAGACAGGGCGCGGGCGGGCGGGGCCTCAGGCGGCCGGAGGGCGCGGGGTGCAGGCGGTGCCGAAGAGCTTGCACAGGAAAATGTACGCCTTGGACAGGAGCCGGAGGCGAAGTCCCGGAGGGAGGAGAGTGGGAATTACAGTCAACCCGCATAGCAAGGACGGGCAACCTTCCCAAGGGTACCCTTGCATCCTTGCCTCCTCGGTCACTCCTTGGACACTTTCGGTGGCCGCGCCCCGCTCGGAAAACTTCGAGATGGGCTCCCGAGGCCCTTGCATCCTCGTCGCGCATCCTTGCTATGCTGGTTGACTGCAGGACCACGTCGGGCTCGGGAGGGGGGGGCGCGCTGGGGCGTGCGTGCGCTCCGGCGACCCCGCGCTGCAGCTGCTTGCCCACCGGAGCTGCAGCCGCTGTCTGTCCCCGAGATGGCGGGGGAGTCCCAGACCCCCGTGGTGAAATCACGACGTTTTTATATTATTTGTTGTTTTTTCTTTTGTTTCTTTTTTGTTTGTTTGTTTCTTCTTTTTGTAATTTCCGGCGTCCCGCGGCCCTCACCGGGCCTCGGGGCCGTCGAAAAGAAACATCTCAGGATGAACCTTTTATCCCAGGGAAGGGGTTCGGATTCCTCTTGGGGTTCGAAGTCACGGGACAATCGTGGCGTCGGGCGTCCGGGGTGGTCGCAGCTCCATGCTTTCACGTGGCGTGTGGGAAGGATGGTCATCGTCGCCCAGGTTGACGGGGCAGGGAGAAAGCCTGGCCAGCCTAGCGTGTCAGTCCGTTAGTGACCCGGACGGTGCTTATCAATCCCTGTAGTTGGTGATTTTTTTGACGGAGCCTGGGATGCGCGAGAGGTCCGCAGCTAGGAAAAGCGTGATCGCGTGCGTGTGCGTGTGTTCTTGGCTATCCCCGTGCTCTCCCTTTCGCGCCTGTGCTCGCTGTCTGTTGCCGAGCACATGCCGCGTGTAGTTGCTCCTCTGCTGTCTTTTCTTAGTTTGACTTCGCGTTACGTGGGGGGATGAGAAAAATCAGTGGGGCGCTGGCTGGAAGGCTGGTTTCTTCTTTGAGGCGCGCCTTCTGGACAAGTGTTCGTTGTTCACTCGACTCCGTCCTGGAGCAGCTTTCTTCTTGTCAGGTCTTGCGGCCTACGGTGGGCTTCTTTAGTCTTGCGTTGACCAGTGTGCTTGTCGGCGCTTGCGGTGGCCTCGTCGCTAGTTCGAGGTGCGCGCGTGTGCGCGGCAAGCGTGCGGTGGTGGAGACGGCGCAGGAAGGAGGAGGGCCAGGCATGCTCGTGGATAAAGGGCCGCCCGTCCTGAACAGTCTGACGCTCGCGGATCTGGTCCATCGGGCGAGCTGTCGAATGCACCCATGGGGCCCATGCCCCCCACAAGGCCGCTCAGAGTTGGGACGCGCTGCTCCCGGGTATAGGCTTTTTCCCTGCCCAGCGGAGGGGGGGGGGGCGGGGTGGAGAGGGGAAGCAGGTAGACGACAGACGCGCAGGCGGGAGGCCCTGTCCGATGGGGCCGTCGGGCAGGTGGAAGGAGAGCTTGGTGGAGACAGCAGGCCGGGAGCGGGAGGAACGGGAGGGAGGCGAGGACGAGGAGAAGGGGGGAAGCAGCCGCAAGCAGACAAGGCAGGGACCAGACGGAGGGAGGAGAGAGGGGAGGAAGACGAGGCGGCGGGGAGGGGAAGTAACTGCAAGCGGACAGGCCGGGCCAGTGTCCTTCCTTCTCGGTCTTCCTCCTTCCCTCCCCGCCTCCTTCCCTCCGCTCCGGTTTCTCATCCCTCCCCTCCTCCCGCCCTCTTCCCGCCCGCCCTCGTCCGTCCTCCCTCTTCCCTCCTCTTCGCGCTGGTGTCGAGCTGTGGAGGTCTACGGGGGGCAAGCAAGGTCCTGCCTGGTTGTGGGCTCCTCGGCGCAAGTCTGGCGCCGCAGGCGGGCGAGCCTGAGCTCGAGGATGTTCCTCCTGTAGGTGGCAGCAGCCGCGGATCTCAGCGTGGACGAGGCCCGGATTTGGCTCCAGGAGTTCGTCGACCAGGCGGTGGACGAGGAACCGCTGCAGAAACAGCAATGAGCGCTTCACAGCTGCCCTGAGCATTGCTGGCTGGAGGACGCCGTGGCAAGTGTGTGATCAGGAACGGCGTGGGCCTGTCCCCCCCAGGGGGCTGCGGGATAGCAGGGACCCGCTACGCGTGGAGGTGCCACGCTGCTGCCGAGGGGAGTCGCGGCGAGCTGGCGGCCTTAAAAGAGTGGGCTCGCTAGAGGCCTCGCCTTCTCTGGCTGCTCAGTGGGATGGAGGGCACACGTGTGTGCGGGCGAGACGTCGCGCCGAGGGTACTGGAGCGCGCACAACAGCCCCTGGCCGAAGACGGTCGTGCACTTCATCGACTACGTGCACGCCAGGGCTGCCGAGCTTTGCGGGTCGACAGTGCTCAGCCAGGCCCTCCGCGACCTTGCCTGGCCCGGGCGCGCGGCGGGCGTCGGCCTGGGCGATGCGCTCGGCGCCCCGCCTTGGCGCTGGGTCCCACGTGCCAGTGCGTTCATCGCGGCCTTGTGTCCCGCGAGTGCTACATGCGGGTCCCGTCGTGGATAGAGGCGAGCGGCCGCCTGAGGCAGGCAATCGTGGACTTCGAGAAGGACTACTTCTTGCTGCGGTGCGACGACGCCGGCCAGGAGGTGGTCCGCAAGCCCGCCCGATGCGTTGGAGCGGCGCCACCGGCTGGCCCGGACCGGGGGTGTTCCAGAGGATGTCGGTGTCGTCCTTGGCAGGCGAGATCGCGGAACCCTGTCTCCTCGAAGAGGTCGTGGGCTTCAGGGCGAAGTACCCAGAGTGAGCGACGATCCCATTGTCCTTGGCGTCGTCGGGGGCGACTGCTTGGGCAGAAAGTTGAGACACGTGCCGCGCCGTCGTTTCCCAGGCCCAGCAGCAGTTCGCAGTTGTTGTGCTGCGCTCGGGCAGGTCCGTCGTGGAGCTGGACGAGGCGCGGCCTTTCCGGACTAGGCAAAGTGGCTGGTGTTGAGGAAGAGTTCATTGAGCGTAAGGCAACGGTCGTGCTTGCCAAGATCTCGGAGGGCCTTCGC